GCATCTCCTCCCAGGCTGGATGAGCCTGAGTTTGCACCATGGGTCATGGGTCATGGGTGCTGGGTCCCTGAGGCTGGCGGGGCTGGAGGGGGAGGGGCTGGGGGAGGGGACAGGGAGGGGAGGAGAGGCAGAGGCGCCCTTGGCCCTTTCTCTGAGCCCTTGGTCCCGAGCCACCTCTGGCGCTGTGCTGCACACGAGCGCCCCCTAGTGTGGAGAGGCCGTCCTTCTGGGAGCACTTGCATTCCCAGAGGGTTCGCCGACCCTAACCCTAACCCTAACCCTAACCCTAACCCTAACCCCAGCCCACCCGCACCCTGGGATGTGGGGGCTGCCGCCGGCGCCACCCTGGGAAGGACACTGAGAATGTGGAGAGAGGCCTTGTGGGTCTGGGGAGAGGCGAGGAGTGCGGCAGGAGCTGGGCATCGTCCTGGAGAAGACGGGCCCCGGAAGCTTCCGCGCACGCCCACCTTTCCGGGCGTTTGGCCCTGACTGAGACATGCTCGCCAGCGGCAGGGAGCTGTCGCCCGCAGAGAGGGGCAGGTGCCGCCCCACCCGCCCGGCCTGCTGGGGCAGACGCTTCTCAGGGGACAGCTCGTCCAGGCCCAGGTGCGCGGAACGAAGAGCCTCCCCGGTTCTCCCGGGAATGTCCTGTCTGCAGCTGTGGCTTCCTGGTGACGCCGGGACAAGCGGCCGCACTGCACGCCGCTGGGAATCGACAGGAGCCCTGAGCGTGGACTCTGACGGACCCGGCACAGGACAGGGGCTTCTGTCTCTGAAGAGGAGGCTGCTCTGTGGGACCGCAGGGCCACCGTCACCTGGGCCCAGCTCCCCGCAGGGCCACCGTCACCTGGGCCCAGCTCCCCCCAGGGCCACCGTCACCTGGGCCCAGCTCCCCCCAGGGCCACCGTCACCTGGGCCCAGCTCCCCGCAGGGCCACCGTCACCTGGGCCCAGCTCCCCCCAGGGCCACCGTCACCTGGGCCCAGCTCCCCGCAGGGCCACCGTCACCTGGGCCCAGCTCCCCGCAGGGCCACCGTCACCTGGGCCCAGCTCCCCGCAGGCCCCCGCTGAGAAGTGGCCAGGACACTGGCAGGGTGGAGCCGTCCTCACGGGGTGGCTGTGGCTGCTGTTGACACCAAGGCCTTCGCCTGACACTGCAGTCGGTTACGGATTCTGACATAAGTTCTTCCCGCTGTCAGCTATGGTGTATTCGTGCAGTCATCTTTCGGTGCATACTTGTGACTGTTGCTCAGGGTAGATTCCCAGAAATCAGGACGATGCAAATAAACACACCACCTCACGCTCTACATATGGGCTCTCATGAGAGCACGTAACTCGCCCCGTGTAAAAAGGTTTACAAACTTTTGATGTTTTCATATAAATCCTTTATATGACTGAGCATTTTGGGTTTTTTTTGGTGGGGGTGCTGAATTACTATTTTTTAAAAATATATTTAAAAAGTTTTTTCAGACCAACCAATTGCATTTTTTAATGTACCATCAACTCCTAACCGTTTTTCACTTTGCATTTCTACCAAACATCTCCTATTTCATATGCTCTGTTCATCTGTGTGCGCATTTAATACATATGTGATATTACAATATATTCATATCTTCTTTTGTTCTGCCGCTGACATTTTACATGTAGAAAACCCACCCTCATCCAAACACAGATGAGACAGATAAGTACTTAGGTCTGTTGTCCTTTTTCTTGTGTAATAGTATATAGTTGAGTCCTTCTCAGATATTCTTGCTGTACGGCACGAAATGAGGATCTAACTTTGCTCCTCGCGGTCGGTGGCTTGTGTGGCCACTGTTAGTCGGGAGGCGACGGCTGTCGTCATATTCTCATGGACTGTTTCCATCAGTAGCTCTCCAGTGTGTATTTTGTCTCTCTCTCTTTTTTTTTTTTTTTTTTGAGACAGAGTCTCACTCTGTTGCCCGGGCTAGAGCGCCGTGGCGTCAACCTAGCTCACAGCAATTTCAAACTCCTGGGCTCAGGCAATCCTCCTGCCTCAGCCTCCCGAGTAGCTGGGACTACAGGCATGCGCCACCATGCCCGGCTAATTTTTTTCTATATATATTAATTGGCCAATTAATTTCTTTCTATTTATAGTAGAGACGGGGTCTCGCTCTTGCTCAGGCTGGTTTCCAACTCCTGACCTTGAGCGATCCGCCCCCCTCGGCCTCCCAGAGTGCTAGGATTACAGGCGTGAGCCACCGCGCCCGGCCTTATTTTGTCTCTTAATCTTTCGATTAGTACACCAGTGCCACGCTGATTGAATCCTGTGGCTTCATCGTATGTTTTAAAATTGAGCTGCGTGGTGAGATATTCTTATCATGTTTTCAAACGATTTTTAGGATCACTTTATTTGAATTTTATGCCAAAACTTTTCCTCCTGAAAATTGTTTTTGGTACCATATTAAACATGTAAATTAATTTGCAAAGAATTAACAACTTCTAACTGTTTAGTCTTGCCGTCCGGGACCCAGTGTTTATCTCCATTTATTCATGTTAAAGCAAAACCTGTTGGGCAACATTTTGTGCAACTCTCATTATCTGGGGTTTTATTTGCTCCTGGTCATTTTGGGATTTTGGATACGATCGTGAACGGTATCTTTTTGTCTTATAACGTGTCCTACTTGTCTGTTGTCACCTGTGGGCACATCTCTGATTATCGGATTTCCTTTCATACCTTACTTCTTTATTGAAATTTCTTGTTAATCTTGAATTTTCAGCTGATGCTTTTCAAGGTTTTAAATGGTGAATTTTTTTTCCTGCCTCTACTGGTAATTGTGCAGCTTCCTCCTCTTGGTGGGCTCCCATTTCGCTGAGTGACTCGGCGCTGACAGCCTCCAGACCGCCAAGCGGCAACGGGGCTGGCACACGGCCGTCCGTTTCTAATTTCTGATTTGAAGGCCATTTCCCTGAGCTTCGCTGTCACGTGTGACCTGGGCGTGGTTTTAAGAGACAGTCACCGTATCAGAAATATTTTCTCTGCACCGTGGTCTCATCTCCCCTCGAGGAGCAGGCGTCTGTTTCCACCGACGCTTCTCCGAGGTTGGAGCCAGGCGTGTTCCCGTGGAGCCCAGCCGGCCCAGAGCCCGGAGCAGCCTGGGTCCCTCCCTCCGACAGGGCCCCGCTGCCTGGGGTCCCCTCTGCCCACCCCGCCCCTGCCCAGCTCCACCCACCTCTGACAATGCCCGGGACTTTTCCACCTGGAGAGCCCCCCCCCGCCCCCGCCCCCTGCACAGGTGTGAGCCCCTCACTGGGCATCACCTGGTCCTGGGGTGGGCAGGGCCTGCAGGGGCTGCCAGGACGAGAGCTCCACCAGCCAGGCCACACGGCCCAGTGTCTGACGTGGCCCCTGCCACACTCGGCAGATGGGGCGGTGGGGAGGAGGCGGCCCCGTGGCACCCCCTTGGGAGCCTGGAGCCCCTGGTCTGGAGACAGCGCAGGAAGCCGGTCCAGACCGGCACGTCTGGCTGCAGGAGCCGCGCCCGGCCTGCGTAAGACGGGTCCTGGTCGGAGTCTCTGCGCCGCCGTCAGGAAAGCTCGCGGCCCTCGGGGCGTCCACCCTCCCCAGACGTGGGGCCGTGGACGGTCAGACGCCCTCCCTGCGCCAGAGCCTCACCTGGAAAGCAGGAATGACTCCGCCTGGGAGGGCGTGGACAGGTTCCCGTGGCCCGATTCTGGGCAGAGCCGGGGCCGGTTCGGGGCACCCGGTCACCACCCCATCGAAGCAGCTGTCAGCGTCATCCCAGTGCGGCTGCCGGCGCCCCTAGCCACGGGTTCCCCAGAACGACACTCGTTTGCTGCTGACAGACACAGAGGCCAGGGAGCCTGTTTCTATCTCCAGCGAAGTGGCCGTGCGTTTGTTTAAGGAAGAAAACTCAGAGTCCAGGAGTCGTGTAGAAACAGCAGCCCCTCCCCCTTCCTCCCTGCCTCCCCCCAGAGTCTTCCGTCTTTGGAGGCAAAGCATCCAGTTTCATTAGCGGACCGTTTTCTTGTTATGTAACTCATGAATTAACAGGCGTGTGCTGCTACTCCTTGATTTATGGTTTCAGGTATTATCTACAGACCCCACTATGGAAGGTGAAGCACACAGGTGTCCTGTGCCTGCCCCTGACATGCACACGCATGTCTTCTGGTGACACCGCCACCCGGATTCCAAATCCCACCCGTCCTGGATGGGGCCTCCGAACGCACAGCCCCCGGGATCCAGCGGACCCTCAGCCCCGAGGGTCCATGGCGGCATCGTAGGAACCGGCGATCTCCAGATCCCGCGAGGCCGGCTCCGGAGCTGACTGGCAAGTGGCTCTCGGCTCCCGGAGAGGCCCCGCTGCCTCCCACCACCTTTGCTGGCCGCTGGGGACCCCTGCCTGGTGGCCCGGCGCTGTCCTCCCCTGCTGCAGGGAGTGCCGCGGTTCTGTGGGCAGCAGTCGCTCGGGGGAAGAGAAGGAAGGCCGGTTCTCTCCCTCCTGGTGGCCCGGCTCACTGCCGGCAGGAGTTCCTGGCAGGTGCTGCCACCAACCTGTGCCCCTCAGCAGGCCGGGGCAGGTGGGGTCTCCTCAAGCCCCCTGCCCCTCGGAACGTGGGGCCAGGCCTCACCTGTGGCTGGACTGTCCCTGCACCATGTCTCTTCCAGGGCATTTGGGACAGAGTGGATGGAGGACGGAGTGGGAGGGAGCCCTGGCGTGGGGCGGCGCAGTCTCCGGGTGCCCAGGCGCTCCCGCCCTGCTGCCGCCTGGCTCCAGAGCCTCTTTCATCTCAGTCATCCAGGATGACTCGCAATTCTGCGGCATTCCCTTGTTCTCCAAACCTAATAGGATTCCGGGCGGCGAGAATCGCCCCAGTGGGAATTCTGACCCTTCTTCCCAGGTCCTGAGCAGCCCGGGGCTGTCCGAGAATAGACCCGGCTGGCCGGGCCTGCTGCCAGCCCTGCGGAGGGGAGGCCGGCCCGCCTGCCCCAGAGCCTCGTGACAGCGGTCGGGACGCAGCTGCAGCCCCCTGGCTGGCGGGGGCCACGTGCAGGTCCTGGAGCAGAGGCCGCTGGGCCGCCTGCCCTTGCCTGCCCTTCAGAGCTAGTCCTGCAGGGCACTGGCCAGAGCCCCTACCAGGGGGAGATAGCCCAGCACAGGACAGAAGGATCCGGAATGACCCAGCGTGTCCAGGCCCAGGTGAGGGCTGGGCAGTTGGGGTTCAGGGCCCCTGGCCTCCAGGCACCCCGTGTGTGGTGCAGGGAACCATTGCCAGACCCTGCCCCGGCAAGGCAGGTGGCAGGAGCCAAGGAGGGGCGGGAGGCTGGTGGCCCCAGGACATGGGGGACATGGCTGAGAGCCACCTGCAGAGGCAGCTGCTGTGTCCCTTGGCTGAGGGAAGCGGGCAGGAGCCTGTCCGCCGTGGAGTGCACCGTCCCTGTACCAGGGCGGGATCTGGGGTCTGGTGAGCCCCAGCACGTGGGGGCCTGTCATCCGTGCCCACGGGGGTGGGGTAGCTCTCACCCATGCAACTGTGCACAGCTGTCTGGGATGTGCAAGCGTCCCAGGCCACGCCCAGTGCGGGACCTCAGTGGGTGTGTGTCCTCCCTCCCTTCAGGCCACCTTTGCCCACAGGGGTGGAGCAGACAGCAGTGGGCGGGGCTAGTGTGAGTGGGTGGGGCCAGCAGTGGTGGGTAGGGCTGGTGCAGGTGGGCGGAGCTGGCATGAGTGGGTAGATCTAGCATGAGTGGGCAGGGCTGGAAGTGATGGGCGGAGCTGGAAGTGGTGGGCGGAGCTGGCATGAGTGGGTGGATCTAGCATGAGTGGGCGGGGCCGGAAGCAGTGTGTGAGGCTGGAAGTGATGGGCGGAGCTGGCATGTGTGGGTGGATCTAGCATGAATGGGCGGGGCTGGAAGCAGTGGGTGGGGCTGGCACAGGTGGGCGGAGCTGGCATGAGTGGGTGGGTATAGCATGAGTGGGCGGGGCTGGAAGTGGTAGGCAGAGCTGTCATGAGTGGGTGGATCTACCACGAGTGGGCAGGGCTGGAAGTGGTGGGTGGAGCTGTCATGAGTGGGTGGATCTACCATGAGTGGGCAGGGCTGGAAGCAGTGGGAGGGTCTGGAAGTGGTGGGTGGAGCTGGCATGAGTGGGCAGGCCTGGCAGCCGTGAGCAGGGCTGGCACAGGTGTGGGCCCCCAGCAGAGCTGCTGCCTGGCTGCTGCCTCTTCTAGGTTTCAGCCCCACCTGGAGGCCCAACCCCGGTACTCCTCAGGGCCTGAGGCTGCCTTTGCTTAGAGTCTCCACCTGGGCCCAAATACCAGGCCTCGGCCCCCACCCTCTGCCCAGGCCCTTGCCTGACCTCCCTCAGATCTCTCAAACCCCGGGCAGAGGGCTCCAGACCTGGCATTGTGATCTCTCCCGATCCGCTAGGGAAACCCCAGCCGGGCTCCATTCCCTGGTCACATCCTGGTCGAGTGCCTGTTCCCCAGGAATGGCCCAAGGACGTGACTCGCTGCCCCTGCCGACAGCCCTGGGGTGGCACTACTGTCATTCCATTTTTCAGGCATCCAGCCACTTGGGGGTTAAGTGGTGGGCACTGGGAGAGAAGAGCTGCTGGGAGGGGTCGGGCAGGGGACTGGGCCCGGGTCTACAGGGTGAGCTGCAGGCAGCTGGAGGAGGAGGAAGGGGAGGAGGGAGAGAAGGAGGGGTGTAGAGGGCCGAGCTGGGACAGCGGCCGGGGCAGAGGCCCGGGAGACAGGGAGGACAGGGACAGAGGACAGGGAGAGGGAGAACCTGGAGGCAGGGCTGGTGGAGGGCGGAGGGGCAGGTGGCCAGGCTGGGAGGCCTTGCCCGGGGGGCTTGGTCTTTTCTCCGAGAGTCAGGGAAGCCGGTGGCATCAGAGAAGGGAACTGGCATCTGAGCTTGAGCAGGTCCCTGCAGGCCACCCGGTCCCAGACACCCACTCCCAACACGGCGTCCACCTGCTGTGTCGCCGTGTGTGGGCCGCGGAGCCCAGCCCGTGCCCAGGGCCCATGCTGGTGCGACACAGGCCAGACTGAGGACACGGTGTCCAAGCCACCATCCGGCAGCCTTCCGGCTTTCAGAGACTTGGCCGGAGGCGTGAGTAGGCTGGCAGCTACATCGTTAGGCGGCCAACATGCCAAGGGCTGCGTGATCTCCAGGGACGTCTTCCACCCCCTCCCTCACAGCAAAGTCACCCTGAAACTCCCCCAGGGATGTACTTGGAGCTCCAGACCTCTCCCGCTCAGATCCACCGCGGGCTCTGCAGCTGTGCCCGGTCGGGAGGCCACAGCCAGGGGCGGCCAGCCCCTCTGCCCGGGAGCCGGCGCCCGTGCTCCAGGGCGCAGGGCACACCTGCCTTCAGGCCGGAGCGTGCGGGGCCGGCTCAAGCCAGGCTCCCTGGCTGTCAGGGCCGAGCTGGGCCGGGCATGACCGGAATGTGGATGAGGAGGGCAGGGGCTGCACGCAGCGAATGCCGATGGCGGCTGACAGCCCCCCTGCGCAGGGAGGACCTACGCCCAGACCCCTCACCTGTCGCTGTATCTGGATTCTCATCCGTGCAAAGGCTGTGAGGGGTTCCTGCAGGGTGCTGGCCGTGGGCCGGGCACTTTGCCAGAAGGCCACGTGACGGGCACGCTCCTGTCCGCGGCCCTGTGCCCTGCCTGCACTGATCAGGATTCGGGCAAATCCTGCTCCTTCCTGGCTTCCCGGTCGTGCTCAGAATGACAAACGACGCGTGGATCAGAACGAATCAGATCAAGTGTCAGAAGCAGGCAGCCCAGTGCCCGAGAGCCGGGCCGCCCAGCAGGTGCCCTCGGCTCTGTAGTGCTGGTGCCGAGGGGTCCAGGGGTCTCCGGAGGAGCCCCCGGGAGCACCCAGGGGTCTGGAAGCTCAGAGGGGCTGGTGCCCGGCTGCAGGACCTCCGCCCCACCCCACCCCCACCCCCACCCCTCTTGTCCTGCAGGAGCTGAGCTCCTGGGCATCCAGGTGGGTTCCGTGGGGAACTCACAGGGCTGTGGGCCCCGCGCGTGGCTGCAGGGTGGGTGGGTGCATGCGGCCCCTGGTTGAGGCAAGCTGCTCCCCTCCTGGCTGTTTCGGCTGCATCATCAGAATCGCTCTGGGATTTTCTTTCTTTTGTTTTTTATTTTTTTTTTTCTTTTTTTTTTGTTTTTTTTTTTTTTTTTTTTTTTTTTTTTTTTTTTTTTGTTTTTTTTTTTTTTTTTTTTTTTTTTTTTTTTTTTTTTTCTTTTTTTTTTTTTTTTTTTTTTTTTTTTATTATTTTTTTTTTTTTTTTGTTTTTTCTTAATTTTTTTTTTTTTTTTGTTCTTTTTTATTGTTTTTCGCCAAGAACTGGTCACAGCATTAGGTCATTTTTGAGATTTTCTCCTCTAAAATGCATTCTGGTTGGGGATTCATTTAGGAGAACTTTATGCATGTTTACTGAATAATAGCATTTATTGATTTTTCTCTATTACGTCGATAATAAATGATCAGAAAAGGGTAGCCCTGACAAACGTGTCGAGTACTATCCTGAACGACGAGGCTCAAGGATGGTTCGTGATACCCGCCGCTGGTTTTGTAAACCAGTGAAATGTTCAGCCATTCAGCCAGGGGACACTTACAATTGTGGGCTACCTGCTACAGTGCTCTACGACACTGCTACAGAGAACTAAAGCTAAAGAGCTGGCACAGGTCAAGTCCGCCTGAACCACATTGCAGTGGGGCAACTGGAGCCACTCCGCTAATGCAGCTAGGCTGGGCACGGCAACCCACGTGTTTGCCACTCATGCACCCCCCCCGCACCCTCCCCTGAGAAACTGTCAGCACCAGTCCTTAACCCAGAGGGGACACTGAGGCACAGGAGCGAAAAACGGAAAGACTGTCCAGTCTGGACCACCACAGCTGGAGATGCAGTAGGGCGGAAGTAGAACAGGGTGTCTGCTTGCAGAATCGCAACCTCCTCAACAATCTCGCCTGTGCTACTACCTCTTTAAAGAGACAGAAACAGGCAAACAAGTAGGCACTACAAAGAAGCAATTTCAAGAGAATGGCAGTCGCCATCAGTGAAGGCATTGCAGGAAGGGGCGCATGAAGAAATGAAAGTGGACATCGATGGGGAGGCATTGCGGTGGTCGAATTTCTCAGGAGCACCGTTTGGCATGGAGGTTGGCACGACATGGAGCCAATGAGCCATAGAACACGCAACGCCAGGAGGAGGTGTGAAGAGAATGTGGCTGGCCAGGGAGGGTTCAGGGCAAAGCGGCCCGCCAGGTGGGAACAGGCGTGGTGTGTCCAGGAGCGCAATGGGGTCAAGCATCAGAAGGCATGCTGGGTGGGGCGAGAGTCAGGGCAGGGTCCCAAAACATCAGTTCTAAGAGGCCCTGGAGGGTTTCCGCGTGACAAGGAATATAGACCATGACAATGAAAAGTAGCAACTAACGTTACCTACAGAAGTTGAAGATGCTAGCAGTAAGTGCTCATCTATAGTTCATCTGCGAGGAGAAAAGTCACAGTATTCTGGTACACTTTACATGAGCAGTAAGACGGCAAGCCTCTGAGGGCTTATGACCTCTTGATCTCAGGTTCAATAGTGTTCACCCCTCTGACCAAGGTCTTCACTCCGGGCGCATTCCCACCAGCCTGCCGACCTGTGCTGTCATCCACGCAATATATTAACCTGCTCCCGGCAAAGCTGCTTGCCCCGCTTGGAGAGGGATGTCTAAGTCTTTTCTTCACCATTCATGTCCGCGCACGCTGCCTGGTGCCTTGGAGTCGCAGTGAGCATCTGAAGCTGATCCTGTCATAAGGCCGGAACAAGAGAGTGCAGCGGAAAAAGAAAAGACGTGACCGGGACTGAGGTAATGGAGGAAAGAGAGGAAGGCGCGACGCAGGGAGCGCAGGCATCAGCGCTCAGTCTCGCCATACACGCGGGTCGTGGGTGGGGCCCTGTCCACGGTGGCTGCCGCTTCAATGACGCGAGTCTGGTACAGGTTACAATCTGTTCAGCCTTGCTTCCTCACCGACTCTGGGGAACACCCTCCCAGCAGGGAGAACTCCAGTCCTTCTTGAAGGCCAGGTGAGTGACAGTCGCCCGGGGTGGGCTTCCACTGCGGTGACAACTTCTAGGGACAGATGGAGGGCTACACCTGTGGGACCAGAAAGGCAGGAGTGTCATAGCCC